CTTAGAGTAAGTAGCAACTTTACATAACAGCTGGAAGTTGCAAGTGCACATAGTGCTATTTCCCCAGGGAGAATTCGCCACACCTCTCTGGTTAGGGGACTTTTGGGAGTCATGTTGTTTTGTCATTGTTTATGTGTTCTGATGGAGATGTATATTGTTTACCTTTTTCGCTGTGTGTCGTTTTGCACAGTTGTTTTGATTTACATGAGGTGCAAAACTGAGGGGTTTCAACATAAATCAATATGAGTCGGTTTAATATTGTATCCTATAATGTCCACGGTTTAAATCACCCAATAAAAAGGAAAAAGATAATGAGCCAACTAAAGAAACTAAAATGTTCAATTGCGTTGCTTCAAGAAACCCATCTTGTCGAGGTTGAAAGCCAAAAGCTAAAAAGAGAGTATTTCATGCTTCATATGGCAAGAGAAGGGGCGTGGCCATACTAATTAATAGATCTTTGCCATTTTCAGCAGAGAAAGTGATAAAAGATCACATGGGAAGATTTGTAATGGTAATTGGCTCTTTTGGAGACATGGCTATTTCCATACTGAACGTGTACGCCCCAAATGAAGAGAACGAGGATTTCTTTTTAAACATAGCTAAGATTATTACTACTAATGGAAAAGGCATGATAATAGTTGGAGGGGATTTTAATACTGTACAGAGTGGCAAATTAGACAGGTTGCCACCATAACAAGGACCAACTTCCAAAAAATCTAAGGTGTTGAACAATGTTGTTAAAGAGCTGGGTCTCATAGATCCATGGAGAAACAACAACAACACCAGAGGGAAGGATTTTACTTTCTATTCTAACCCACATGGTAGCTATTCAAGGATAGACTTTTTTTGTGTGTCACAACAACATATACACAAAGTCTTGAATTGTGACATAGAGACTATAACCCTAAGTGACCATGCTCCTATAACATTGACTATAGACATGGGAAGAGAATCTTTTTTCAAATATTGGCGGCTTAATGTGTCAATTCTATCGGACCAGAAAGTGGTGAAGGAGATAAAACAAAATCTAATGGAATACTTTCAAATTAATGATAATGGAGAGGTATCACCATCAACTTTGTGGGAGGCTGGAAAAGCAGTTATTAGAGGGAAAATAATTTAAATAACATCTAGGCTGAGAAAGGCTCGTCTGGAACAGCAAAACAGTTTGGAGAGTAAAATTAGAGAATTGGAGGGAGAACATAAAAGAGCATCCAACAATAGCACCTTACTTGAACTAAAAAGAAACAGATGTACATTGGATGAACTTCTGACATACAAAGCAGAAGGAGCTCTACGTTTTACAAAACAGAGATACTATGAAATGGGCAACAGAGCAAGTCGCCTTCTTGCATTCCAACTCAGAAAGGCCCAGACAAATAGGATAATTTCTAAAATAAGACACCCTAATTCTAAACAAATGTTGGCAAACCCATCAGAGATAGCAGGAGCATTTGCAGATTATTATGAAAAGCTATATGATGACTCAGACTCTAAGTTTACAGAATCCAAAACACAACAATTTCTTCATAGATTACATTTACCATCATTAACAAAGGAGGAGGCATCTAAAATGATACAGCCAATTTCATTGCAGGAACTATCTGACACTATAAAAACTTTTAAAAATAACAAATCCCCTGGTACAGACGGGTTTCAGGGTGAATTTTATAAATGTCTAAAAGAAGAGATTACACCAATATTATTTAAAGTTTTTAATTATGCTCTATCTTCAGGTAATCCACCGAAAACTTGGTCTGAAGCCATTATATCTGTCCTACATAAGGAGGGCAAAGATCCGACTTTATGTGAGGGATATAGGCCAATTAGCTTGCTTTGTAACGATCTCAAAATATTGACGAATATATTGGCTCGGAGAATGCAAAGATGTATAACCAAACTTATCAAACCGGATCAAACAGGTTTTTATCCCATGTAGGCAAGGGGCTAATAATATTAGTAGAACATTAAATCTCATATCATGTACTAAAAACAATCCTCAGCCAACCATGTTACTAAGCTTAGATGCACAAAAAACTTTTGATCGGGTCAAGTGGAGCTTTTGTACAACACACTGGATGCTTTTGGGTTTCAATCGACCTTCATAGATTGGATAAAAATGGTGTACAGCTGTCCAAAATCACGTATTAGAGTAAATGGTTGTTGCTCAGATTTTTTTAACCTTAAAAGAGGAGTTAGGTAAGGAGATTGTTTAAGTCCGTTACTATTTGCCGCAAGTATCGAACCGTTGGTCGAATTAATTAGACAAAATAAAGACATAAAAGGAATAAGAGACAAGGGGGGAGAAGAACACAACATTTCATTATATATTAACATATATAAGTGAGCCTTCCTCATCTATTCCAGCTTTGTTGAACAATCTTAATGAATACGGGGAGATATCAGGTTATTTGACCAATGAAGCTAAATCTGTAGCTATGATGATCTCAGGTGACCGTCCAGGAGGGTCAGGTTAAATTTAAATGGGCCACAAAAGGATTCAAATATTTGGGTATTAATATTACTCCTGTCACATCTCAGCTATTTGAGGCAAACTATGGGAAACTGATAAATGAGATAAAAAAAGATGTTGACAGGTGGGGAATTCTACCTCTTAATCTAACGGGAAGAATAGAAACGGTTAGGATGAATATACTACCAAGACTTTTATTCCTGTTCCAGTCATTGCCTATTGTGATCCCTAAATCTATTTTTAAATTACTGGACAAAATAATATCAAAATTCCTGTGGCAACATAAAAAACCGAGAATGAAATATAAGACACTTCTATGTACAAAAGAGAATGGAGGGTTGAATCTACCTAATTTAAAATATTACTATTGGGCAGCACAAATTAGAGCAATAATTATGTGGATAACTGAAGACACGGAAACAATTTGGGTTGATATGGAACAAAAATCATGTAATAATGTACCTGTGGGAGCACTTCCATTTTTGACAGAAACGGCACAGAAAGGGTTGGGGACTTGCAATGAGTGGATCAGGGCTACGATGAAGATATGGTCAGAGGTACGAAAGGAATTAAAGCTGTCAAACTCTATTAGCAGGGCCACTAAAATAGCTACAAACCCAGACTTTTTACCATCTATTATGGACTCAGGATTTAAAACATGGGGAAATAAGGGGTTAATATATATTACACAACTCTTTACTGGACAAACCATTAAATCATTTGAACAACTGAAACAGGAATTTAACCTACCATCCTGTGACTTTTATAGATTCCTGCAACTGAGACATTGGGACACATGGGAAAACATTCGCAAAGCCCCATCTAAACGAGAGGAACTGTTAATGACATATACAGGGGACGAGACAAAAAAAGGGGCTATATCAAAACTTTACAAGGTACTACATTATGAATGTAACAGCAACAATAAGGGTGTCAAAGAAAAATGGGAGTTGGAAGCGAATATTATAATATGCGACGAGGATTGGGAAGAATCATTCAAGGTGGGACATACATTAACAAACAGTCCAACATGGAGGGAATTTGATTGGAAGGTGAACATGAGATATTTTAACACCCCATCTATCACTTCATAATACAGCAATACCTCTAATTTGTGCTGGAGGGGCTGTGGACGGGTGGGAGACTTCACACATATATTTTGGGACTGTCCAACCATTCAGGGCTTCTGGAAAGATGTTCAAAAGGAGATTAAACGGGTGCTGGGCATTACCTTTACTTTGGACCCAGCATTTTATATACTGGATATACTGCCCAGTGATATGGACAGAAATGTAGCTTTCTTACTAAGAATTCTTCTTCTAATTGCGAAAAAAATGATAATGGTCCCGCAGCCCCCCAGTATAGTCCACTGGAGAAACAGGGTAACAAATGTTTATTTAATGGAGAAAATCACAGCAAGACGACAGCTGAAAACTGACAAATTCGAAGAAAAATGGTCTCCATTAATACAAGCATCACCAGATCTCTAGCAGCACCTCTTTACTTATTTATTTATTTTTCATTTATTTTATTCACTGCACTTGTACTTGTTTCATCTGGATGGTAAAGCACTGGCTCTTACTATCATAATGGTTCAGGTATTGTGCGATCATGTTTCCGATGAGGGAGAGTGATAATATCTGTAATATGTTGATAATGTTTGCACAATATAGAAATTGATAAAACTAAGAAACTGTATGTCCTTTTGGTGCCCAAGGAGGGTATGTATGATTAATCCTGGTGTACAACAGCTGCAGTGATGTAAGCATCTCCATGTATGTTCTATTGATGTTATGTATGAAAAAAAAAAACATCATACGAGAGGAAGAGTTTTTCAGAATTGATTGTGGCATCTCAACCGTGTGGTCAACTCGTGGCCCGTGACATGTCTTGTGAATTCTCCGGCCGAAGCTCCAAGATAAACCGTCAGTGTTTGCCATCAAAGCTCCAGCTCTCCATCGTGTCTCTCTTTGAGTCCTGATCCAATTGCTTCAGAAGTTTCCCCCACAGTAGGCACAGGGTTATTTAGGTTTTTATTGTTATTGAAAATGGTAATTGGAATTGCAGTCTACTGTACATTGAATACAGCATGCTTAAAAATATTTTACATGTTTAAGAAAAGCTATGCTACAGAACAATTGCAAAATGACATATTGCCTACAGTACACATGCATTAGATTATAATGTATATTATTCTGTAGATGTAGATAATATAAAGGAAAGATACCATTTATATTACATTCAATTATTAGTTATTACAATTAATTGTATTTATGGGCAAATTTCGCATTCAAATGTAACAACCTTTTCCCTAGAATATAAACACATATTATATAATGAACATTAGTAATAAAAAGGAAACCAAACCACATTTGTGTTTGACAAATATATATTTTTTAAATGTACACGTTTGGGGTGTTTTCATTATTTTTATCTTTTTTGTTGCCTTTTCTTTTGTTAGTTAGTAAGTCCACAGTACTTCCTTGTAACAACAGGTGGCGGTAATTCACCGTGCAGCGAACAAGAAGAAAGGGGATGTTTTAGCCGTCCCGGAGTTGAGTTGTGATATTTCCTACAGCCCCTTACATACCCACCAGCAGCTGAAGTGATCCTCCGGACTGCACCTCCTCTCCTCCCCGGGTATCAGACACCTTCAGCCGGCCATGGCGCAGAGAAACTTCTTCGTGGGAGGGAACTGGAAGATGAACGGGAACAAGGAGAGCCTGGAGGAGCTGATCTCCATCCTGAACACCGCCAGCCTTCACGACCAGACCGGTAAGTAACGGATCATGTGTCTGTGGGTTTATTCTATCTGCTGCACATTAACTGCAGGTTATAGGGTGCAGAGATAATGCAAATCTATAAAGAATGACAATTAGATCTATACTGCTGCTCGGATGAGAGTCATGTGATCAGGATGAGTTGCATAAGGGCCTCTGACGTTTATGTCTTATCCTCAGGGCTGGAAAGTACTAAGTCAATGTACTCAAGTAGCTGATATCTTTAAGTATCAATTGACTGTACTTTTTGCCATGTTGTACTTTTATTCCACTACATCTCAAGGTACAATATTATAATAGTGTCTTTCGACTCCACTTCGAGCGATATAATTACTAACAGAGCACTTATATACTAATAAAGGACTGGCTTACCTAAAGCCAGTTGAGTAGCACTTGAAATGTTTTAGCTCTATGAAACCTGATGGACTTATATGATTCTGTTTTCTTCAAGCTTGTATCTTGTTGGTCGAACGCACTTATTGTAAGTCACTTTCGATAAAAGCGTCAGCTAAATGCAATGTAATGTAATGTAATTTTGGCACCACTGCATTTTATATGTTCTTGTTGTTCTTGTTGTATTGAGTTTGGAAACTAATAGAAAGACCCTGTAAATCATGATGATGAGAAACAATCTTAAAGTAATAATTTAGAAGCTCACAATGATACATCATACCTTAGTCAAAATATCAATAAAGGTTCTTATTATTTTTATATCAATATTCCTAAGCTACTGAGTATTATTTTGGGATGCTCGGTCATTATTTTTGAGATATTAAGCCAATATTTCTGAGATTCTTTTGAGATATTTGCCGATACCGTGTGCAGATTTTGGGTAAATGCTTTGAACAAGGCCATATACAGTATGTTTTTACAAACTCAAATATTTTTTTTAAGTTTACGTCAATATTTGAAAGATATTGATTCAATATTTGTAGGTATTGAGCACCTTTTTGATATATTATGTCATTTATTTGAAATACCAAGTTGTTGTATTGAGATAAACAGGTCAATAATTTGGTGATAAATAAGATATATTTTGAAGTCATTATTTTAGAGAACTTCTCATTCTCATTGTACTAGTGGACATGGACATCCATAACTAATAGTGTAAGAATATGTATTCAGAGTAGAAAACCAAAGTGACAACACCATCATAGTTTCAATAACAAGTGTATTTGAAACTTATCACAGGGAAAATAACCCAAATCTGTGTGCAGTGCTCTAAAGGCCCTGTCACACTGTCCCGAAATTGACACCCGATGGACACACGAATATGGAATTGTGAATTTCGCACGAAGATGGCCCCGAACCACACACGAAGGCAACATTTACATTACATTTAAGACATACAACTGCAATGAAAGTACCAAAAACAATTATGTTACAGTACTATGATACTGTACTGATATCTTCAGACTTTGTTCTTTACTTTATCCGTCGTTATATGTAGAAAATATTACGTTTTCTCCGTAATGTTGTTTCCATAACAACAACAACTTCCTGTCAACTGTCCTTCAAAATAATATATTATATCCTTTTTAGTTTCACAGAACACAAATTGGGTTATTTACATATTATATTTACATGATTTTGTTGTGCAATAAAACAACCCGATGGACACACGATAAAGGAAATGTTCAAATTCGGCTGTGATCGTAGCAACATCGGGCCATTCGTGAGGGCATCTTAAGCCTTCGTATGACCGCCGGTGGAGTTTCTCAGGCTCCGGCAGCAACTTCGTGAGCGGTGGCAACATCTTTGGCATGCCAAAAAATTGCCGAAGGACCTTGCGAAGGTTCATTTTCGTGTTGAATTCGTGTGTCAATTGTGCCCTTCGTAAGGCCATCGTGAGGGCATCTTGTTATCATCGGTGCCATCGGGCATTCGCCCCGATCAGAGTGAGGGTGAATGCACCGATGATAACACGAAGATGACACGATTTGACAAGATGCCCTCACGATGCCTTACGAAGTTGCCGCTCACGAAGTTGCTGCCGGAGCCTGAGAAACTCCACCGGCGGTCATACGATGGCTTAAGATGCCCTCACGAATGGCCCGATGTTGCTACGATCACAGCCGAATTTGAACATTTCCTTTATCGTGTGTCCATCGGGTGTCAATTTCGGGACAGTGTGACAGGGCCTTAACAGGAGTAGGTTTTACTTCCACTCTGCTGCTATAAGTGATGGAAGTCCCCTGAAAATAAATGTAACCGAATTAAATGTAATTGTATTAACCTTATCAGTCCAGGGCCTAAGGCACATGTTGGCATCAACGTGAGACTAGTGGAAATATAAGAAGTCACAGATGAGGATGAAATTAAAGTCACGATTAACTCAATTTTTCAGAGGTGGTGTGTGGAGCCCCCTCCATCTACCTGGACTTCGCCCGCTGCATGCTGGATCTCAGGATCGGAGTCGCAGCCCAGAACTGTTACAATGTGGCCAAGGGAGCGTTCACGGGGGAGATCAGGTATCTCACCCACTGGATGAATGCAATATGAATGAATCACAATGCATCCAATCTATTAATAATACTGCAGGCTGATGCCTTTTTAAATAAATGATCACATGAAGTCACATGTTTGTTCTCCTTACAGTCCGGCCATGATAAAGGACTGCGGGGCAGAATGGGTGATACTGGGACACTCTGAGCGCCGCCATGTTTTTGGGGAAAGTGACGAGCTGATTGGTCAGAAGGTGGGCCTCTTCCTCCTGCTGCTGTAGGAAATGTGTGAAGGTGGACGCTGTATAGTATATATAAAAATAATAATATAAATACTGGCAAGTGTGTAGGGAAGAAAATAAGCTACACCTGTCAGATTTAAAGGTCCCCCATTGTACTGTTTTTCATCAATATATTATAGGTCTCAGATATATACAAAACATGTCTCTGAAGTGTTTGGCTCCAAACACCAAACAGATCATTGTAGCATCCTATAATCCCCTCTGTTTCAGCCCTGTTTCAAAAGTGCTGATTCTCTGTCTGTTACTTTAGATGAAAATAAGGAGCCCCTCCCCACACCCCTCTGAGAGATATTTGGTTAAAAATAACACAATGGTGCTCTGGGAGGAGATTCAGGTGATAAGGTGGGGGGGGGGGGGGGGGGGGGGGGGGGGGGGGGGTTACCTTGGTTGGTTATTGGCTAATGGTTACACAAGACAACAAAACGTTATGATATCATATAAGTAAATATAACATTACATTACATTACATTGCATTTAGCTGACGCTTTTATCCAAAGCGACTTACAATAAGTACATTCGACCAGGAAGACACAACCTTGAAGAAAACAGAATCATATAAGTACATCAGGTTTCATAGAGCCAAACATTTCAAGTGCTACTCAACTGGCTTTAGGTAAGCCAGTCTTTTATTAGTATAAAAGTGCTTCGTTAATAGTTCTAACGCTCGAAGTGGAGTCGAAAGAGATGAGTTTTCAGTTTCCGCCGGAAGATGTGTAAGCTATCTGCCGTCCTGATGTCAATGGGGAGCTCATTCCACCATCCTGGAGCCAGGACAGCAAACCCACGTGTTTTCGCCGATGGGAACTTGGGTCCCCCTCGCAGCGAGGGTGCAGCGAGTCGTTTGGCTGATGCAGAGCGTAGTGCACGCGCTGGGGTGTACGGTTTAACCATGTCCTGGATGTACGAAGGGCCAGATCCATTCGCAGCATGTTAAGCAAGTACCAGTGTCTTGAAGTGGATTCTAGCAGTTACCGGAAGCCAGTGAAGGGAGCGGAGGAGCGGAGTGGTGTGGGAAAATTAGGAAGGTTGAAGACCAGACGAGCCGCTGCATTCTGGATGAGCTGCAGAGGTCGGATGGCACATGCAGGTAGACCAGCCAGGAGGGAGTTGCAGTAGTCTAGGCGTGAGATGACGAGAGCCTGGACCAGAACCTGAGTCGCTTTCTGTGTCAGCTGGGGACGTATCTTCCTGATGTTGTAAAGCGTGTATCTGCAGCAACGGGTTGTAGCAGCGATGTTTGCAGTGAAGGACAGGTTGTTATCTAGGGTCACACCCAGATTCCTTGCAGTCTGAGTCGGGGAAACAACTGAGGTGCCGATGTTGATTGTTAGGTCAAGAGTGGGACAATCTTTTCCCGGAAGGAAGAGCAGCTCAGTCTTGTCAAGGTTGAGCTTGAGGTGATGAGCAGACATCCACTGAGAGATGTCAGCTAGACAAGCAGAGATGCGTGCGACGACCTGGGTCTCTGAGCGGGGAAAGGACATAATTAATTGGGTGTCGTCAGCGTAGCAGTGGTAAGAAAAAACATGCGGGCTAATGACTGATCCGAGCAAGTTTGTGTACAGGGAGAAGAGGAGGGGACCAAGAACAGAGCCCCGAGGGACCCCTGTAGTTAATTGACAAGGGTCGGACTCAGACCCTCTCCAAGTCACCCTGTAGGTACGGTCTTTCAGGTATGAGGTGAGGAGGGAAAGTGCAGAGCCTGAAACTCCAAGCTTTTGGAGAGTGCGAAGGAGGATCTGATGATTCACCGTGTCGAATGCAGCAGACAGGTCCAACAGGATGATGACAGAGGAGAGGGATGCAGTTTTGGCAGTGTGCAGTTCCTCCGTGACAGCAATGAGAGCAGTTTCTGTGGAGTGACCTGCCTTGAAACCAGACTGGTGCGGATCCAGAAGGTTGTTCTGATTGAGATAACAGGAGAGTTGTTTAAAGACAGCGCGTTCAAGTGATTTAGACAGGAACGGGAGGAGAGAGACAGGCCTGTAGTTTATAACATCAGACGGGTTGAGAGTGGGTTTCTTTAGGAGAGGGTTTACTCTTGCCTTCTTGAGACTGTTTGGAAAGTGACCAGAAGTTAGAGAAGTGTTGATGAAATGGGTGAGAAACGGTAGAATATCAGGAGCGATAGTCTGAAGGAGGTTTGAAGGGATAGGGTCCAGAGGACAGGTGGTAGGGCAGAGGTAATGAGGGTAAGAACCTCACTTGGAGAGAGAGGGGAAAAGGAGGTTAGTGTGTTGGTGGAAGGAGGGTCTGGTGACCCAGCGGTGAGTAAAGGTGAGTCAGAAAAAGAAGAGCGAATATCATCAACCTTTTTTTCAAAGTGGGTAACAAAGTCGCTTGACAGAAGTGAGGAGGGGGGAGGGGCTTTTGGAGGGTCCAAGAGGGTGGAGAAGATGGAAAATAGTTTTTAGGATTGGAATAGGAAGATTGGATCTTATCTTGAAAGAAAGTGCTTTTTGCCTGAGAGATCGAAGCAGAGAAAGAGGAGAGGAGAGCCTGATAGGTTAGGAGGTCGTCACGGTGTTTGGATTTCCACCGTTTCCGCTCTGCTGCCCTAAGGACGGTTCTATTAGCACGCAGTGCATCATTTAGCCAGGGAGCAGGAGGGGACTGACGAGCCTGCCGAGATGTGAGAGGACAGAGAGAGTCCAGAGTGGATGAGAGAGTAGAGAGGAGAGTTTCTGCAGCAGAGTTTGGAGGCAGGAGTTGGAACGAGTCAGAGGAAGGGAGGGCTGAGAGCACCGATGAGGCAAAGGTAGAGGGGGAGAGGGAGCGAAGGTTACGGCGGACAAGTGCAGGATGAGAAGAGATTAGTTTGTTATGTTTGGAAAGGGGTAGAGAGAATGAAATGAAGAAGTGATCGGATGTGTGGAGCGGGTTTACAGAGAGGTTAGAAGTAGCACAGTTCCTTGAGAATATGAGATCAAGGACATTGCCAGCTTTATGAGTCGGTGGGGACGGAGACAGTGAGAAAGCAAAGGCGGTTAACAGAGATGTTAGTTCATCTATCTTCCCCGTCTGGAGGTTGAAGTCTCCGAGAAGTACAGCGGGAGGGCCAGTTTCAGGGATGTGTGAGAGGAGATTATCTAATTCCTCCAAGAAGTCCCCCAAGGCGCCTGGTGGACGGTAGAGAACAACAATGGTTAACTGTATAGGATGGGTTACTGTGACGACATGGAATTCAAAGGTGGAAGGAGTGAAGTTAGGTAGTTTGAAGAGGGAAAAGCTCCATTTGGGAGAGAGCAGGAGACCAGTGCCACCTCCTCTGCCAGTTGGTCTGGGTGTATGGGAGAAGGAATATGCAGTGGAGAGAGCTGCTGGGGTGGATGTGTTGGATGGAGTAATCCACGTCTCAGTGAGAGCAAGGAAATCCAGAGACTGCAGGGAGGCGTAGCCAGAGATGAAGTCAGCCTTAGGAACAGCTGACTGGCAATTCCACAGGCCACCTGAAACTAGATGTTGGATCTCAGTGGAGCATGTGGGATAGATGAGAGCAGGCCGGTTATATCGATTGCGAGATACACGGGGCCAGTGATAATTGCGAGAAGACACATGAACAGGAATGGAGAAAATACACATGATTATAGCCTGAGGGGCTAAACAACCAAATAAAATAAAACACCAGCGATACTTAGCTCAATCAAAGTAGGATTTGCCTGCTCTTTGCCTCCCTCGTGACTCCCGCAGGACTCTAATGTCTTTGCCAGTCTTAGCCTGTCTGCCGCTGAAGCTGACACTCCAGGAAAGTGCTACCTAAAATGGACACCTGATTGCTGAGTTCTCACAGACAATTCTAGAAGTCTCCAGTAGCTTTCCTGTCAAAATCGAGTTGCACACTGGCAGGTCAGTGATTAGGATGAGATTTAAATACAGTTTCTGTTGGGGGAGTGGCCTCAGATCACAGCTGATGGGTCTCAATCTAGACTGGCTTCCTCCTGATTTCTTATTGTCTTTTAAGTCAATTACATTAAACCCTAAGTTATAAAGTTATGAGTTTAACCCTTAATACAGTTACACCTACTCAATAAAGCTCTTAGTATTCTACAAATGTTTAAATCAAAGTTAACCCTAGCAGTCAGTTAGTTCACGTTTAAGGTTTCAGTCAAATGACTTGTCCCAAGTTTCTGCCTGACAGATACTGTAGCGGTTTTGAGTTTTAAAATCACAATTCCAGTCAGATCAACTACAGAGCATTGATACAGAGTACACACACTGAAACAGAGAAGTCTAAAAACACAATGTTACTCACGCAATTCTAGAAGTCTCCAGTAGCTTTCCTGTCAAAATCGAGTTGCACACTGCAACATATAAGTGGCCAAAATCTAATCTGCTCATTTGCAGACAGGTTTTTATATAAATGGATCAAGACAAAAAGAGAGAATATTATTTCCTGAAACTTTCAGAATCTCTTTACACAGAGGGGACACATGTTTATGTATAAAATAAATGAAACGTGGATTTTGCACAATAGGTGACCTTTTAAGGATGTAAAATATTAGATACTCTTTAATTTAGCTTTAATTTGACTATTTTTTATTTAAAGTTAATAAAATAAGATAATCTACAGATTAGTCAGACTCTACAGCTGTTTACTTGCACCTGTTTGCCCAGATGTATAGGAGCCACAACAAATCTTTTTAAGTGAGTTAAATCCGGCCTGTTGTTAAATGGTGCAAACACGTCAGGTAAAGGCTGTGGTTGATCCCCAGGTGGCCCACGCTCTGGAGAGTGACCTGAGTGTGATCGCTTGCATCGGGGAGAAGCTGGAGGAGCGGGAGGCCGGCACCACCGAAGAAGTCGTCTACGCTCAGACGCAGGTCATTTCAGGTAAATACAGGAAATTGAACTGAATATAGTTAATTTCAAAAGATTTACAAAAATGAAAAAGAAATATATACATTTATTAAAAATGTTTAATAAATAAGAACGAACATATACAACAGACTTTCTATAAGCAAAATAAATTAACATTTCATTTCCAAAAAGCAATAGGATAAAGCTACATGTCAAATGCTTATAAATGCAAATAACAAACATGTTCATTAATTTACAATAACATTTGAGTATCTCTTTTTTTTTTTTTTTTCGTGGCACTTTCTTATATGTCATTACTTTTTTTTTTCATTCATGCTAGTGGATATTATTATCATTTATTTGTATGCAATATTACATTGTTGTTCCTTTGGATATTTTCTGCTGGAACTATTTGCCTGCTGATTTGCCTCTACGGAGAGAATTAACTGATTTATTATTTACCCTTATGTATGTATCCAAGGCATCGCTGAACATTGACCATAAATAATGTCAATTTTGTGGCCGGTCTACATAATCCTCATGTGTCTGCATATAGGTTCTTACGACCGATTTATAGTATTTTATTGATGATCTTTCCCTGGTCAGCTCTCTATCTTCATGCAGCCGACTTCTGCAGTCAAAGTGGGCTACACGCTGATTTAAAATGCAAATACAGTAGGTCAGTAGTCTCGTAGTAGAGGAATATCTTGAGACACATTTGTCTTGTTCCTCTGGTAATGTGAGATTTTGATGAATGTTTGCTGCGCTGCTTTGCCTTTAGGATGTTTCTTATTTTGAAATATATGTACCTTGTTTGTGTTACATTGTTTCCCTTCTGAAAATGGGGACTGGGAAACAACTCTGAATAGACTTCAGAATATTCAGCTGTTCAGTACAAGCATTATCTTCTGTTCTGTGTAAGATGGCTCAGTGTTTTGGGGTATTTTACCTTTTTTTTAATATCAGGAAATACTTACAATATTGGTTTCTGTTTTCCAGAGAATGTGAGCGATTGGGGGAAAGTGGTGCTGGCGTATGAACCTGTGTGGGCCATTGGGACAGGCAAGACAGCCTCACCTGAACAGGTAACATTCTTAAGGTTATTTTTTTATTGTTTTCTAATTCTTTCTGGCCATTTAACAAATAAAAATGCTATTATTCAAACTGACTGCCAGTTATTTCTTCACAACAAACCCCAATACTGTATACTCACATCTGAGGGCTGACATTTAGCCAGTGTCAGCTCCAAAGAAATATCTTTGATTTCTTATGGAATTAATATTTATGTAAAAACTAAAAGTTGTCCATGTTCCAGATAAACTAACGAACTGGAATAATGAAGGTTAATTAATTAAAGGTTTTAGATTTTGGTACATTTTTTCCCGTTAAACAGGAATTAAACTGTAATTTCCTTGTCTAAGGTTCACATTTTAATGTGCAATTTTGTGTGGTATGTGTGTCCAGGCTCAGGAGGTCCATGAGAAGTTGAGGGCGTGGCTCAGATCCAACGTGTCAGACGATGTGGCCGACTCTGTGCGCATCATCTACGGAGGTCAGTAATATTCTTTTTTGTTTATGTCAGTTTAACCTAGGCCCTGTTTGGATGGTCTTAGCGATGTGTGTATTTGCCAGCCTGTCCTCCTACAAAAAACGACCATATAGGTCGATTGTTCAGCAGCTTATTACGACCCATAGTCACGTTTTAATATGTCGCAACTCTAGTGGTCGTGTAAGAAACAACAAGCTCCCGTTGATTGCAAACGCTCCGGAGGGTCGTTTATTCACAAATAACCCTCTCTGGAAAATCCTAAATTATGGAATAGTTTGGCCATTAAAATGCTTTTTGATTCGATTTCTAGCGAGAAGTGTATTTTGTACTTTTAGAATCTACGTCCAGTGGATGTGTAGGATCAGTTTGATAGATATTACGAAGATGATTTGAGGTCTCGCCAGGAGAACGTGTAGTATACTACGTCTTTCCGTAGCGTCCATGTAAAGTTGGCGTCCATGTAAACATTTCTGGTCTCGAAGTTTTCATAATAAAACCGGAAGTATTCCCCTCACTGTCAAATGATTACACAGTGATATCTGCATTACTCATCCACTAGAAAACATCAGTTTATCCTTGTTAATTACACAATATTGATTGGTTTAAATTGTGTACAATGCTTTTGTGTTTTTAACCTTCGATTCGGAGAAACAAATAGTTTTTTCGGAGTTTAGACACTACAGAGTTTCCGAAGACACTACACTACCCAGAATCCTCAGCTATCATTTGGGACTACAACATCCGCTTTCCTTTACAAACCCCGTGATTAGTCCTCAAGCTCTGTGATTGGATGTTGGAGTGGCAGTGCGACAAGGTTACACCGAGCGTCAAACAGCTCTTTGAAATAGAATGTAACCACGGCAGACTATCCAAAACTGGACTTGGACGGGTCCAGCCCCACCCCCCACCCCCCAGAACTACACATGCTGGCTATTGTGTTTCGCAAAAGGGCAACCATGGCAACCATGCTCGGGGGTCTTCTTCGCTGCTTTTAGTGTATTATGTGGCGAAAGCAGAGCGCCACTTACAGGCCCGGCATATGTACTACAGCGTCTCCAGCGCTCCCGAGCAGTCTCGTGTGAATGGAAGACTTTTTTGATATCGTATTCGGTTCGTTTGCGTTTCGTATGCGTTTGAGTTTGCGTGTAAATGGGGTCTTAAAGGCCTTCACACATAGACGGGTGGTTCCATGTAAATTATATAGTACTCAATTCATTTAGTGGAACTATTGTTTTCTCATGTTTTGCACAGAAGGTGGCACCCTTGCTAATTTGATAATTTCCCACATAATCCCCTTTATTTCTCTCTCTGTGTCCACCAGGTTCAGTAACGGCAGGTAACTGCAGAGAGCTGGCGTCACAGAACGACGTGGACGGCTTCCTGGTGGGTGGAGCCTCTCTGAAACCAGAGTTTATTGAAATCATCAATGCACGTGCTTAACGGACGCAACTTTGGCTCCATCAGCCAGCCCTTCAGATTGACAACATGTCTCTGTAAACTGGGCTGACTGATCAGCAGGTCCGAAAATAAAGTTTTATTTTGCTAAATATATGTTATGAAAGAGGTATAGAATTAATTTAAAGTAAATATCTTTATATTTTGTGGTCTTTGGTTGTCATATGTTGTATTTTCCTCTTTAATGTATTGCCCCGGAGTATTTTGATGTTCTCAATTGTGTCTTAAACTCTGTTTAAATGTTGTATTAACGATGCACTCTCACCCATATGCACTAACTGTTACTTCAGGGCCCTTGACAATAAAAGCTTTTCACAGACTGTACTGTTTATATATCTATATACTATATAGATTTATAAAGCTATATAAACCTGAAAATCGAGTACTCAGCTTTGAGTCGTCAAGACTTATATCGTGAAGTTGTTACCAATAGGCACCAAAGATTGATGTAGTAATCACTTTGTGATTTTGTGTTCCGTGTTTATCATAGGAACTGGAAGAATAAATTAATCAAATGTGAAACACGAAAATATGTTACCTTGTTTTGAATTGTTTGCTCTGCTTATTATGCTTTCTGGAGTTTACCTTTTCCTGTAGTTAGTTCTATAGGTTTTTGTGCATGTTAATGGTCTGGAAGAAAATAAAGACCTTTTTGAACATTAAAGCATGTAAACATGTCGCAGTAGAGGCACAACATACTAATATGAACCTGAACATTTGCATAATAGAGCCTCTTTAAGAAATTGTGTGCATTCTGTTCAGATAAATAAAGGAAGGTTCATGTGATTGTGTATGCATCCCTGCTATTTCAGATAGCTAAAAGTCACAAAAAAGTGAGCTGAATAAGCAACACAGACACAAAAAAAGACAAAAACCTTAAAACTGTGATTGAAATTGTAAATTACCATATTTTATTTAACATATTTTCACATTATTTTCAATGACAAGCGTTCTTTTTTTAATTTTCTTTCTTCTTTTTCAACACATCTATTCTATAGACATTCAGGAGAAACAGAAGGAACGAAGGGATTCAGGGGTTTAGATTTTCTTTTCTTGTTTCAAGCATAAAGACAAATAATCAGAATCACATCTGGACGGGAAGAAAAAGGGATTTAGAAACTGAGAAACAGACACGACGAGGAGATAAAGGAGACAAAGAGGGGATGAGGACAGAAGTGGGTGGAGTGCAGGTACTTCAGTGTCCAGGTGAGAGTGTGACGCAGCTGAGTGTGTAAGTGTTCTCGTGTTTGTGTAGTTTTCTTCTTTTTTCAGTCAGTCCCTGAAACTGCTGTTTCTTTCTGCGGGTGTATCGTCCTCTTTTGGTGCTGAAAGTTGTATTTTTGTTCATCTCTTTCAGTTGCGTTTCAGTCTACATAGTTCTATTATATTTCTACTTATTGTATTTGTACTTATTTATCTCTCTGTTTTTACAACAATAATCTTTATTTTTGCAGGTCTATCCTCTGGCTGTACATGAACAATTCCTTTAAAACTACAGTAACAGTGCATGTCTGGCTTATAAATTAGATATTTCTATGGTATTCCCCTGCATGTGCGTGAGCGTTTGCTGCATCTGCTTACTCTATGAGTGTGTATGCATACACATCCCATCCTTAACTATCCAAAGTCCAGTGCATAATTCATTTTATGGGGTTTTTTTTTTTGCTTGTCTCTTTTGCTTGTGTGTTTTCATGAATCTTCATGATCTTTCATTGTACATGGCTCAATGTTAGTTGTGTGTGTTTGTGTACGTGTGTGTGTGTGTGAGTCATTCCTGTCTGTCAGTTTCACAGGGCGCTGGGGTTCCTGAAGTTATGGCCTGCGAAGCGAGCCTGGTCGCCCAACTCTTCCTCAATCCTGCAGAGAATGAAAAACAACGAGGAAAGAGTTGAGAGAATTATTTATAGTTCTTAAAAGCATTTTTTAATAACAAATGTCTCAAAAAAGAGCTTATCTCGATTGGACTACTTTGTTGCGCTTCTTTTGGATAGCGCTCCAACACATTGTACGTGATTAAGGGGCGGGACATCTCCAAACTGCTCATTAATCACAACAGAGCCGGCCAGCTAACCAATCAGAGCAGAATGGGCTCTGGTTTCAGACAGAGGGTGAAAAGAGGTGCTGCAGTATGAGCCAAATAAAGAGCTTTTTTGAATATTAAAGCAGGTAAACATGTCACAGTAGAGGCACAAAATACAAATATGAACCTGAAAATGAGCCCCTTTAAAACGTGTGATGTCATCTCTCCGTAATTTCTGACTACCCATCCTTGGCAATACATACAAATAAAGACGTTTTCTTGCTATTTAAACAACTGCTGATCAGTGGAATAGTAGGGCTTACAACAAAGCTTAACCAGTTTACTCCTGCTTTGTTTTTGGCAAATCCAATAACTCCATCCCTGTTAAGGATTAAAGGAGCACAGATCAGTTCACTTGTCATGGTTGAAAGGCAAGATCCAGTTTTATTTGTTGCTAACAAGGGAGTAAAAGTCAGGCTGTCACCCCTCCTGCTTTTGACTTTGACGCTCCTTCAAATGTATGGAATTTCAATACTAAATCACTGGATTACTCTGTTAAAAAACATGTCTCCCTATGTGTGACAATTTGTCACAGTATAAATGATTCATTTCTTTCTTGTGTGTCTGTACACTTTAGTGTGTGTTTGTGCATACTTCACTGCACTGATTAGCTTTTATCGCTGGTTAATGCCTCTGTAAATCTTTCAACCCTCCACCTTCTTGTATCTCGTCAGCGGTCCGATGGGATTACAACACTGAGCCAATCCCTCCTCCTCCTCCTCCTCCTCCCTCCTCCCTCCTCCCTCCTCCCTCCTCCCTCTGCTGCTGACTGGCTCGGACACATGGGCTGACACTGGCGCTGCTGTCACCTGTCACGTCAATTAGATCTGTGATGCTAAGCGCTAAGACAAAGCGTGAACCTGAGGAGCAGTGTTATACAGAAGCAGGGCCACCGCCAAATTTGGAGCCACAAGAAGATACTGAGAATGAAATATTAACTGAAGCAGCAATTCTGCCTGTAAAAGAAATGCTGAGAACATGCAATATTTAAACTTCCAATTTCACAATGTATCATTGATTAAATTAAGATTTGTATATGTTAGTCTAGATCCTGAGAATGTTTTAGCTCGACTAAAGTCTTGTTACGAGGGGAACAAAACTAATCTGCGACATAACAATAAAGAATGTACTAATTGGGTATTAAACATTTTCCAAATCAGGAGAACTCAAATGTGCTTAGAGAGAGAGAGGATTTGAAGAGATGAATTTGAATAAATCAGAAACATTTGTGTGTTGCAGGAGAGACATTTTGAGATTACCTCATGAGTTGGTTGTACTTGGCCAGCCTCTCAGATCTGCAAGGGGCACCGGTCTTAATCTGCATGACAAAAAAAGGCAAATATAAATTAATAAGGCTGTATCAATTGCATCCAAACTGAAGTGTGTGTAGTCTAATGAAGAGAAGGAAACATTTCATGAATAATGTTTTTTTTTATTGAAAAGTGAGTTATTACATGCAAGGACGTAGAACAATAAAAGGATATTGAAGCACATTCCTTATTTCTGATTCGTTATATTATTCTAAATATGTGAAAAATCATTAAAACTTCAAAGATAAAAGTCTGCCATTTATGTAATGCTCCATGCTGTCAGAGTTCTTTAGGTAAGTGTTTTATGAGAAAGACTTTAGTTAGTCATTTTAAGACGTGTATTGAGGAATCAGTTAGTTTTCGAAGTGAGATGAAATGTCACGGCAAGTTGTGTGTTGGTAAATAAAAATGTGGCATCAGTATTGACAGTTGCTTGTTAGCAATTAAAAACCTGTACTCTAAAAGAAAATATGAACCTGTGAAATGTAGTCGTATTATTTGTGTGAGTGTGTGTTTGTGCGTGCGTGTGTGTGTGTGTTTACCTGTCCAGTGCAGAGTCCCACCACTAGGTCAGCGATGAACGTGTCCTCTGTCTCTCCTGAACGATGGCTGACCATCACACCCCAGCCATTAGCCTGAGCCAGTTTACACCTGAGAGACACACAGAAGGATACTTTACTCAATAACTGTCATTAAGTACAATTCTAAAGCACTTACACTCTCTATGTTCTTTTGTATTTCAACTTAGAGACCTCCCTAAGACATTTTGTACGGGGGCGGGACATCTCTAAGTGGTTGACCAATCAAAAAAAAGAGCCAGCCAGCTAACCAATCAGAGCAAACTGGGCTCTTGTTTCAAACAGAGGGTGAAAATAGGTGCTGCAGAATAGTCAGGCTTTTTGAACATTAAAGCAAATAACCTAAAAAATGCATATGTCCTCTAAGCGTCCAAAGTATTGTATTCTTTCATACTTAATTCAGTAGCCATCATGTGAATGGGTGTATGAAACCACCATTGTGGGAGTTTCTACTTCTGTTCATCAATCTTAGGGTTAATTTATTAGATTGTGATTTATTAGTGGCGACAGCTCGTCTGACACTTTAACCTGCTAGCATGAAAATTAGGACTCTGGGTGCCTCGGGTCAGATTCGAGGTTCTAATAAATGAACAAGCCCTCGCTCTTGTTCCTACTTATCCTGCTGATCTATTAGAGGAATATATCATATTAACCACATTATGTGACGGATACGATACATCACCTTTCATCAGCACCATTTCATTTCACCGTGCTCCTCTCTTCCTCCTCCTCCTCCTGAAGTAATCCAGCTACACTGTCATGACTGATAGCTTCATAACCCTGAGTGACGTTTTGTTAAGTCAGAGATTGATGACACACACACATTCACAAGAGGGTAGTCAATGCTATAGCTGCATCAAAACATTTGATTGACAGCCTGTTGTCATTTCCTGTCCTACGTTTATCTCCCGCAAAGGCCGGTGTGATGCTCCTCCTCTCAAGGCACAAGGTCAACATGGCTGACAGGTAACAAGTGATGTGACTAACACATGTGTTTGCGTGCCTGTGTGTGTGTGTGTGTGTGTGTGTGTGTGTGTGTGTGTGTGTGGTGTGTGTGTGTGTGTGTGTGTGTGTGTGTGTGTGACTGATGGCAGAGCAGCTGGCTATCTATAGGCGCTTTCACACCGGAGTACTTTTCCCAGTATAGTTCTGATAAAACCGGAACTAGAACTTAGTTTATGAGAACCTTTTCACCCCCTTTTTAGTCCCTGTTAGAGAGGTAGGCCTACTAAAAAGTAGAAGCCAGTCCCCAACTCCGGGGACTTCCGGCCGGGGACTTCGGGTGGCAGTATACGCCGTCAAGTTGTTTGCGGCCTGCCAGTAAACCCAAGGCAGAAGAAGAAGTGACGTCAGCGGCTTCATTTGCCTAATCCTCCCTCAGGGACTTATTCCGGTGTGAACGTGATCTGCTCTTTAATGTTAATCAGAACTAAAGAGTTCTGATGAACTAAGTACTAGGAACTAATGGTGCATTTCCACTGCAGGGCCTCGCACGGCTTAGTACGGTATAGTTAGGCCTTGGTAGGCCAGGCTCACTTTATGCTGCGTTTCCATTACAGTTTAGGAACTGGGGTAGTAACTATAGTAACGCAGTGTAGCCGGAGCCGTGACGTCATCTTCAATGTGAAACACAAAACCAACATCCATCAGCCGTTAGCTGTTAGCACTCAGAGCTCACAGCTCCTCATATCTGTTCAGAAACTAGACAAAAGTTAAACAAGTACAAACCACAGACTGCCTGTGTCATGGTGAATACAGTCTCTGGTTTATTTATGTCTGTATAGGCCGTTGTTGTGAGTGTGGACGGTCAGAGCATATACTGCGTTAGCTTAGCCGATCTCCATTCAGAAAACACGCATTTTAAAAGGTTTTTCGCCTGCCGTCTGTCTGTAGACTTGTCAAAGCATTAATTCATGGTTTTTACTAGCCGGTATCAGTATGTTGTTACTTCGGCATCATTTTGAAACGTGTATTACAATTAAATCACGGTTATATATGTTCATTTTGTTGTAGTTACCAGCGATTCTCTCACTAGTTTAGCATACTCAGCCTGGTTGTTGGCCCGGAAAGAACCTCGATTTTGGAGAGCCAGAAAACTGTGAAAAAGTACCCGCTAGCCGGAACTACACCTAGTGGAATCGCAACCAAAAACGGGCCAGGCACGGCACGCTTAAACCGCGCTCCGCGCTGTAGTGGAAATGCGCCATAAGTACGGCAAAGTACTTGGTGTGAAAGCGCCTTATGTTCTTGTTATAGTCACAAAATGAATCTATTGATTCGTGTTCACCAACACGATTTCCCCTTTTTTTTCGTGTCACACAGAACGATTTTAAAAGCAATGTAAATAATAACAAATTATGAAAAAAATATGTTTAAAAATACAGATTTCAGTATTCTGACAGAACGATTTGAGAAGCAATGTATTTCTATTGGTGGTATGTTTCGTGCCTGCACCAAATAATAACAAATTAGAAGGAAAAAAAGATTTAAAAAATACAGATTTCAGTATTTTGAGGCTCTGAGCCCAATTTATTTTCCTCGCGGACGGCAAAAAAAGTCAGACATTATACAATTTAAAATAAAACAATAATCGTGGCTTGATATTGAGTAAAGAGATGTTTTTATGAACCACACAGCTTCCGGTCTTCCAAGACCCGACCGGACAAAAAGACGTGGTGCCGGCATGAAACATACTACCAATAGAAATACATTGCTTTTAAAATCATTCTGTGTGACACGAAAAAAGGGGAAAATCGTGTCGGTGAACACGAATCAATAGATTAAATACATTTTGTGACTATCACACGAAATGCCGTGAGACTGGGTTAGTGGAGCCTCCTAAAAACGCAGATGAATCAGCATTGGAATCACCTTCTCTGTGATACTCGCTGACTCGTACTTTGTCAATTGCGCATGCATGATGTCATTTTTTACAAAGGGTCGGGCAAAACTATTTTCTAAACATTTCAGATTTTTGCAGGATGTCCTGTGGTTGGGTGGGGACCATTCTTTCAAATCACTGGGTTGCACTTTCTACCGACTAAGCTAAGATGTCAGAAGGGGTACTAAAAAAAACGTTTAATAAACCACTAAAATATTTAAATTCCAATGTTTGTTCAACAATGCAAATGATTTGTGATCGCCTTGGTAGTCAATCACCCACTCTAATTAACCTTTAAACATTACAATAAAGCAGACGTACGCCTGTATGGCCTCAGTGACCGAGCCGATCTGGTTGACTTTGAGCAGCAGGCAGTTGCAGGCTCGCTCTTCAGCAGCTTTCTCTATCCTCTTAGGGTTGGTCACCGTCAGGTCGTCCCCCACCACCTGGATCCCCACCTGGGCCGTCAGACGGGACCAGGCTTTCCAGTCATCCTGGTCGAACGGGTCCTCGATGGAAACCACTGGGGAATTAAGAAGAGAGGTGAAAACAGGGGACAAGATTTTCTGTCTCTGATCAACATAAACAAGCAACGTAGCCCACCTGGGTAGTTGTTGACGAAGCCCTGGTAGATGTCAGCCAGCTCCTCTCCTGAGATGTGTCTATCTGGATCTGGTGGGGATTTGAAGTCCAGGTCGTATTTGCCATCACGGTAAAACTCGGAGGCAGCCACGTCCATCCCGACCACCACCTTGTCCGTGAAGCCAGCTTTCTCTATGGCCGTCTGCAGCAGTTCCAGAGCTGAGTAGTTAAAAGAAGAGGCGGAGAGTTAGGAGTAGGTTCGGAGATAGACGGAATTGTAAGGCAGGAAATACAAAATTATAATAATGATGAATTTTCTAAAAACAGGGTTTTCTGAACCTCTCAATCCACCCTTAGAGACAAATCTGAAGACACGACTGAGGAATAAAAACGGTTGATAACTCTTCGACATGTTTATGAGGGGTCAGAAAACAATATGTATTTGCTTTGGGGTGACAATGCGTGATTTCATTATTCTCACAAAAAGTTGCCATAAAATGTATCCAAATTTCACAAGCAAAGGACATGCTTTTTAAAACCTTTTCTTTGTCTTTCATCTTTGCAATGACTGCTTTTTACTGATCAAAAAATCAAAGCTTCTTTCATGCAACAATTTTCTCAACATATCAGAATGTTTAGTTGAGATTAAATGGTACCAAAGTGTAAATTAAGCTTCATCACACAACAAACACTGTACACACTGCATTATTAGTGATATTTAATATTGACCGAGGAGCCTTACCCTCACTGTTCTCCAGGATGTTGGGAGCAAACCCACCCTCGTCTCCCACATTGGTTGCATCCTGGCCGTATTTCTCCTGGATCACCCCCTTCAGCGTGTGGTACAGCTCCGATCCTATCCTCAAAGCCTCCCTGAGAGACAGATGGAGGGAGCGAAGAGGAGAGAGATTGTGACAGAGTAGAAAGAAATGACAGTGGATACCAACATCAGCAGGAGAGAAAGAAATCATGAGGAAATCGAAGAAGTTTTATTAAATTGATTTGGAAACGAACACTTACTTGAAAGACTCAGCTCCTACAGGAAGAACCATAAACTCCTGCATGGCCAGTTTGTTACCTGCATGGGAACCTCCATTTATCACATTGAAGGCCTGAAGAGGAGAGGAGATGGGCGGAAATGAGGAAAGAGGGGAGATGAGAGGAGGAAACAAAAAACAAGTTGACAATGAGAGCAGAGAAAAAAGGCAAATAATAAACTATTTTTAGCACCCTATGAAGTATATCAACACCTGTACATATGTCCAGTACATTTTTAACTTTATCAAAAAGCAAGTTTCTTACAGGAACCGGCAGCACCAGCTCTGTGTTTCCAGCCAGGTCGGCTATGTGGCGGTACAGGGGGACCTCTTTCTCCGCAGCACCGGCCTTACAGATGGCTAGAGACACCCCCAGGATGGCGTTGGCCCCAAATTGAGCTGTTTGACAGGATAGAAAACAGGAAATGAATTCTGTATTGTTATATATTTTTGTATATTCAACGAAAGTGATTTTTTAAAATAATGTTGACCAATGAACAACCTAAAGTTTTGCAACCAAAGTGCAGTATTTCTTCTGACTAATAAAATAAATGTAATTTAAGAGTCATTATTTAATCATTTCTTCCTAAATGCATTCATCTGGTAATAATCTTTTAGTTTGAAGTAAGAGACACACATTTTCCATGTGAATGATTTCAATTATTTTACCATTGTGACAACAGATTGTGGTACCATATATCACACGAAAAAGAAAAAAAATGGTTGTATCATTGGTCATAGTATGTAGGTATTTTTTTAAAGTACTTTCTATGTACAGCTGGTCAACTTTTAATCCCCAAATGTCAACAAGCGGCACATACCCAGCTGTGTGCATCACTTTTTAGAGTCCCCGCTTTTGTTATGTTTTTTTTATTATTTGCAGCGTTTTGTATTTGCATTGTTTTGCATTTGCAATGCTTTTTAGTAAATTCTGCGCATTTTTTGTCAAGTTGGCGATTGTTTTATAAATGCTGCTTATGTCTTATCAAGTTGGTGAAGCTGTTTCTTCATTGCCATGTGCTTTGTCATATTTGTGTTATTAATTTGAATCGTTTTTGAAACTGCAGGACAGTTCTGCTAACGGAAGTGTTTTGGGCACCTGTCGGCCACCGTACTACCTCACGTGAACGTTTTAGAAAACTATACTTTTTGAAACTTTATATTTTCTATTAAAAAATATATATTCCTCCACTGTGAGTAGCACAAAAACCTGATATCCCTTTAATCGTTCTAAACCTGCTAACAATGTTGTCTATTTATTTATTGGCAGAAAATTAATAAAGAATATGTCTCACTCTCAACACATTCAGCTCTATTCTGACACGTATTCAGTCCTCCCAACACTAATTATTTGCCTTCTGTTTACCTTGCTACCTGAAATAATTAATTGGCATGATGTAGATCAAAGTAAATGACCATTACATGTATTTATTAAGGGGCTGAATTTGTGCCAAAGCCTGTTTGGAACAGCAATGTATTCACTCTGTCTTGTAGCCTGTCTTTTTGCCTCTTGTTACTTTGTGACAAATGTGCTGTTGGTTGAAAAAAAAAAACCTTGTACAAAAACGTCTGTGACTTCTGACAACGAGGAGGAGGGTTTCCAGGTGGCTGAGGGAGTCTGACGATGCTGTGTTAAGCAGTAGCGTGGCGTGGGAAAAAAATTAGGGGAAGCCAATAATACGTCCTTTCTTTTGGGTCGGGGGTGTGGTGGTCAATGTAATAACGTAACCAGATGAGTGATTACAGCACCCGGTATCATTTTACACACATTTTTATCAGATGCAGGACTTGCATACACACTCTAATAAGCATTCATTCACAAACTAAATCAGGAGACCTTTAACGTTTTACGTCCGATTTCGCTCCTTTTTTTCCTTGCTGTACACAGCTCCAGTTTGGGCATCGGCCTGTCATCAGATTGTATTTGTTGTTGCTGCTGTAGCGGAAGTTTAGTACAATTACTTTTGATGAAATACTCCAATTCTCCACCCTCCATAATTGCACTTGCTTCAGTTGCTTGCTTCTTTCTAACGGCGGTGAGAGTGATGCAGTGGCGCTATCTATCTTCTATCGATTATATTTATGATTCGAAAATTATAAAAGTAGGGTAGACATGTGGATATTATCCGACTGAACAAAACGTGCATTTATCTAACAGGTTCGTTTTCCACTGACCTTATTTCGAGCTATTTTCCAAAATCCTATGGAGAAATCCCATTGCTTTTTTGTCGAGGGAAACCGAGAGCAGCTTTACTTCCGGATTTTAGGACTGCAAGTTGCAACTTGCACTGCAAGTTGATGCGATTTGATTGGATTGTGAGGCAAGGGAAGCCAGCCGCCTCTGGCTTCCCTTGGCATGGCCCTGACCAATCACAGGTTGGCAGGGGCATCACGTGAGCCTCATCTGATTGGTCAATCCCTCCATTTTTTTTTACCAAGGGAAGCCAGATTCGGCTGGCCTCCTCTCGCAACAGTGAGTGCAATCTACTGTTTCACCATAACATCTAGAGGGGCGCTGTTTGTTTCACTCTTTGTAAAATACTCAATGAGAATGGGGGAGAGACGGGCCGGCAGCAACACACAGCAAAGGAGAATTATCGAAACCAAAACAAGTGTTTTTATTTATTTATTTAAATTATAACTACAATCCGAAAAAACAGGGGAAGCCTGGCTTCCCCTGGCCTCCAGGAGAAAACGCCACTGGTGTTAAGTCATCACGACTTGTTTTGACTCACATTTGTTTTCTGTGCCGTCCATCTCGATCATCATGTTGTCCAGCTGCTCCTGCTCCACCACGCTGATGCCCTGCAGACACACACAGAAGCACATCTTAATTAAACGCACAGTTGGATAATGTATAACATAAATCAAGGTTTTAAATTCTTCCCACAACATCTTCTTAGGTTCATTATGGTTCAGTTTTTGTACCTAAGTTCAAAGGACTTTTATTTCTTAAGTTTTCGACTGGGTAAAGGGGTTTTGAA